AGCAGGTTATGACGGTCATAATGATCAATTCATAATGTGGGTTCTGATTATCCATAACAATTAGTCTACAAGTGCAAGGTATCTATCGACTGACAGTTGACGAGGGAGTGAGTGAGCAACCTAAGCCGCAAATCGTAATTGATTAATCAAACATGAAATATCGAGTTTTTAATGACTTTTAATTTTGACCATTAAGCAATAAAAATCCGAGGTCCTTCTGTTGATCGTTCTCCATTGAGGGAATCTGGTTATACAGTAAGGCAAGACTTTCTGATTGTTCACTTCCTTACTTTTTTTCATCGGTCTTCTTGTCAGTGAATTGACATCTCGAGAAAAATCATGTCTTGAGCACTTTTTGTTGTTCATTACTAACACGTTTAAGAACAATTTTTACCTCGATCTKCTTTTGTGGTAACAAYGATGCTTTGGAAACTTTCGGGAGGGATCCCTTCAACTGGTAAACCGTGAACTGGAAACACTTTAATAACGTAAGAAGTGTTGCTATGGAGACTTTCGATTAGGGTAGAGTTCACGTTCCAGGCAACGAACTGACTGAAAGAAGTGTTTTGCCCCAGAACTTTGTAGCCGAGAATGAAGAGTTCTGGAACTGGATTCCACTCCACACGGACACTTTCGAATGTCAGGTAGGTCGCTTTGAGTCCGGTTAGGTTGGTAACGAAAACTGAATAATAAAACAAGAGAGAGAGAAAAAACAAAAAAAACAAAAAAAAACAAAAAACAAGTGAATAAATAGATACGTAAATGATTGACTGACTGAATGAATGAAAGAATGATTGATTGATTGATTTATTCATTGATTCATTGATTCGAAGTGACCAAGCGAAGAAGGTATGGGCAAATGGCTCAATGGGTGAAGGAATGAATGCATGACGTATGCAGGTAATAAGTGAACAAAGTGTGAATAGTAATTGATGCAAAAATTGACCATTCGTTAGATCAGTAGAATGAGGAAGGGCTTCCTTACTTGTGAAGCGGTAAACATCTGTCACGTTTTGTCCTCCTCTTCCTCCCAGACATCCTTGTGAAACGTTAAGCCGAGGTAATGTGGCGGAGACATCTAAATAACCAAGACAGTCGCTTCCATTGTGTACAGCAAACACTCTGAGACCACGTGACCAAGCTACAGAGCCACAGGCCTGGACAAAACTGGACCTTTCAAATGGAGCCTTTTGATTCCTCAGCAGGTTAATCAGCTCTTTTTCCACAGAGAAACAACCAATTCGCTCAAGAAACACTTGTAAGAAAGTAAACACATGTTGATTTGGCAGATTAGCTTCCCAGTTTCATATTAAGGAAACTATAAACTTAATAAGTTTGTTCTATTTACTAATGTTGTCTGTAGCTAGTACTTCCAACGATGGTCGATCACCTTAACGCTTTTAGTCTTTCCTCAATTTAAATATCTCGAAAGTGTTGGGTATGGATAACATGTGAAAGTTTAGTACAGTATACATCTTGAAAGCCGCCCTGTCAATTGAGTTGTTGCGCACCTCAGAGAATGAATACATTTTCTGAATAAGAATCTTCCTCAACGGACCTCTAGTTTGACTTGTTCCTTATAAGAAGACTGTCTTTTCTTTGTCTATGGGTATTGTTCTGACCTCCTGGCGATTAGACGGGTTGTTAGAAATTAAGGATTATGACGCAATATTATAGCGGAGCCCAATGTTTATCAAAATTGGATGGAACCTACAGCACTTGTCGACAATTTAGGTGTACATGCAATTTACTTACCAAAGTGGGGTTTGACGAAGCAGTTTACTACGCCACTAGCTGAATCGCTGTCATAGCAACAGTCACGCAACAAACACTGCTCTTCTGTTATGTTTGGCCAACCACATTCAACTCTACGAAGAGTTATACTTGAATTGCAAAGGCCTGGGGAGAGAACTCTGACGCTGTCACATGCAAGGTTCACTGCATTCCACATTGCATACTTTAAACTTCATTTGGAATGCTTGGTTTTAAGGCTTTTGTATTTCCTCTCAGTGATAAGTTTTCTCGGAATGCGTGGTAAACAAAAGTTGTTT